TTTATTGTTAAATTTATTTTTAGTTTTTAATATCTCTTAAAATTAAGCACTACACAAAATTGTGACTGTATTTGAAAATAATATTATTTAAGCAAAATATAAGTTCTAGATAATTTTCTGTAATTGAAAGATATTATAGTCAACTAAATATATGAAAAATAAATAAAAATTCAATAATACTAATTATAAACTATTTTATTACTCTAAAAGTATATTTTATGTTATTTAAAAATATTTTTAAATGTATTATTACTATTTTGTGAACTTTCCTTTTTTATGAAATTATATTATATATATACATATTTTATGTTATTTAAAAATATTTTTAAATGTATTATTACTATTTTGTCAACTTTCTTTTTTTATGAAATCATATTATAAGCACATATATTTTCGTTTTAATTTTTTTATGACTTTATATAAAAATTTCTTTTTATTACATATCTTTTTGGAAATTTTTGAAAAGGAAAAACTAAAAATAAAAGAATTAATAATACTATTTTCAACTATTTTTAATTCATTAAAGGTATCAATGTAATCAACCATTGTGAGAATGAACGTGAGAACGACACATAGTTAGGAAACTGACTTCTCAAATAATATTATAGAGATGAGATGACAATAATGCCTTAGCCGGTTAATCTATATAAGTCTCTTTTACTCTAGATTGACCATGGAGCGGTTAAAGTGGTTAAAGATATGGCTGCTCTTGATTTTTGGCAACGTACGAATACGATTAGTCACACATGGTTTTTTTTTTAGTCACACATGGTTGATTTATATATTGTGTTAAGAGAAGAAGTTGAGAGAGGCTCGTGCGTTGTTTGGTATTATGGTTCAGTCTGGAATATCTTTGTTGATTGTAAATGTGATAAAATAGTAAATTACATTTATCATTTAAAAACAAAAATTCTAAACTTGAAAAGATACTGGTACTGTAGCGAGTGTGAATTGTGTAAGATAGATTCCATGTGTAAACTCTAACAACTGTGAGCAGTTGGTCTGCCATTATTCAACAAAAGTGGGAGAAAAAGACCACTTTTCTTCACGTGAGTTTCCTTTTATTTTATTTTATTTAAATGATGTAACAATATTAAATTTTTATATCTATATATATATATATATATATGTTTTTGTTGTATACAATCCTAGAATAATAATGCATTTTGTAAATATCATGATTTAAAAAATAATTTTCTATGTATATTCATGTATGAGTCTATGTTTATTAAGATCAATATAATGTAAACTTCAAAAATATTAGTGAAAGATATTCAAATGAACTGAATGAATTAGTATTGATTCATATAGTTATTTATTCTCCAGTATCTTTTCTTCTACGGTTACTGGGTAGTTTTTTAAAAGTATGAAAATGATGCATCTATAGCCATTGGGTGGCAAACGTATTAAATGTTTTGTTTGAATTTTAAAGATCATTTTTAAAATTTTCAGGAAACACTTATTTGGTACATATCAACTCATGAATCTTATTCACGACCACATACACTGTATTTCTTTTTTTTTTGTCACTGACACTGTATTTATATTATACACACAAAATCAAACAGAAAATTTCCCATAGAAATAAACTAAAAAAAAAACATCTCAGTCTCCCTAATTAATCCTTAATAGAAGCAAAGTGATTAATCAAAGCTAAAGCATTACTCGTTAAATGAGCAATGAACAAAATCCTTTCTCTAACAAAAACCTTGACCTCACCATTCATTTCATCTCCTTCAAATCCTTCAGTGCACGTGTTCTCATCGGTCAGAGCCGCACTTACCCATGTCTGAATATCGCTCATGTAAACCTCATAGTTCGAGCCACTTAGCCGACCCATCTCACCAATCGATTTCCTAAGCTCCTCTAACGTGTCACCTAACTCCTCGACGCAGTCTCTCATGGACGAGACTTCTCTCGGCTTGAGCCGGTTACTTCTCGAGAGACGCACCATCATTACTGCTGTGGCTTTAGCCGAGGCTAATGTGATGTTGAGAGCCGCGTGAGCCATGACCTTGGGGCTGGTTTGGATGAGACTAGCATGTGTTGAGAGTGAAGTGACACAGAGTCTTGGGTAAGTTGTGACTGTGCATGATGATTTTACGAACTCTGTGTTTGTTGTTGTTGAATGGACCGAATTGAGTGTGGTTATGGTTATGGCTACGGTTATGAGAAGAGACGTGATGAAGTGATGAGTAGCTCTAAAAGATTCAGCCATCTCTATTAATATATTTTATGAGCTTTATGATATTATGAATGTGATGATGTGTGTTGTAGTGTTTTATGCAACTGATGTTTTATATATAGAGAATTTATATGATATTTATTTAAACAAAATGATTTAATATATATATATATATAGATATATATGCAAGTGGGAATTTGGTTGCATGAATGAAGATATTTTTTATTTTATAAAGGGAAATGGAAGAGAGAAAAAAAATGAAGAAGAAATATCTAACATGTGAAAGCAACATACGGCTTAAAACACTGTGCGTAGGACTGTGTAGTCTGGAGAAAAACATAAATAATTGTTTAATAAAAACATTAATCACATTTGGAACAAAGCATTAATCACATTTGGAACAAAACATTAATCACACTTGGAATGATCTAATAGATCATTCCGTTATGGGTTTGTGGTCTCTTTCAGATTCAAATGGAGTCGACAACTTGATATCATCCAATTGTTTTGACTTATTCTCGTTTAAAACGATGGGGCTAAACTATTTAAGTGTAATTACGTTTATGTTGGTTATTTAATTTATTAAAATGATGTATATGAATATAATAAGATATTTTTATGAAATGTTTGTTAGAACTTGTAATTGCAATAAGAAACACAAATATATTTCTTGGATAAAAAAATTAAAGAATTAAAGTTTTGATTACTACAAAAATCTATTAAAGGGTACATGTCGATCGTCGAAGCCAAACGCTGAACGTAATTCCCCAAAAAATTAAGATTCTAATTGTCCCACTAATCGTAATTAATTAGCTCCATGTGGCTATTGTCATCTTCAAGATTTCCATTTTGGCCACATATCATTTTGTCTTCCCAAAATATCAATGTTTATCCTAAAATTCATAGGAACAGTACCACGTGATCTGAAATATCAAGTTGTATAAAAAAATTATCAAGTTGTATTGTAGTGTCAAGTCATATACTCCCTCTGTTTCAATATAAGTGTCACTCTACAGCTATGCACATGGATTAAGGAAACAATTAATTTTACATATTTTCTATATAAAAACACAATTACCCACCCACCTAACCATATTTTAACCAATAGAAAAACAAATTACATAATAAAATTAATAAATTTTGCATTGAAAACCGAAAACGACACTTATTTTATAACACAAAAAATTCTCTACAACGACACTTAATATAAAACGGAGGGAGTATGTGTCTATATTGGAAACAAAAAAAAAAGTCAATATCAACCAAAAAAAAATTGTAAATATATATATGTTTGAGATTTTGTTTAGATGGGTTAACTGGTTGTAGTGAAGAATAATTGTACTGTATAACCGATGGAAACTGTTGTCGCTCTCAGAAACTGGCAGGGTTTTTGTTACGGTTTGTTTTCTCAGTAAATCATCTTGTTTACTGATGAAGAAAATCATTGGCTTTGGAGATAATGGGCTTAGCTCATTTTAACGTGGGTTTCAACTACGATCTTTGCCTATGTATTTTTTGTCCACATGCGGCCCAATTCATTACAACAACCCTTTAGTCAACAAACAATTGTTTTTCCTTTAAATTACTTAATGCAATCTTGTATATATATAATATTATATATACATATATATTCAATGAAGTTGGTCATATAAATATCAATAAGTATTTATCATAAAGTATGATAACAAATTAGAAAATAACTATATAACAGGCAATTCTACTATATGAAATCTATTTGTATTACTTTTGTGTGGATTTTTGTATTTTTTAGAATTATATAGATAATTTTAATTTAACTACGCCATTAATTTTTGTAAGCTTATTTTCTCTAATATCTATAAAAAAAAATTATTGAGAATTAAACCTCAAACTCTTAGTCCAAAATCAATAGTTAATTCTTTGGTCAAACTACTTGACTAAGAGGTTTTTTATTAATTAATTATGATGTTTTGTTAATTTATTTTGTTTTGATTGAACTTTTATATAATTATATATACGACATCTGTTTTATTGTAAGTAATCTTTTTTTTTCAAAAAAAATCCATAATATTGTGTGAAAAAATATTTTGTTATACATGTCATTACTACACTTGCATTTTTTTCGAATTAACAATCTGAAATGGCAGGAATATAATCTGTCTGTTTTAAAATCTGCAGTAAAATATATATATACTGATATTTTTACAACAAATATAAAACTAAATAGAGACAGTGAACTTATTATGGAACGAAAATAGTATAAATGAGTGTAAATGTCATTTTGTTTTAGAGTGTGGAAGGATGGACGAAATGGGGGTGGTCATGGGGATAGAGGAAGATTATGGGTAATGTGTCGTTCGTGATTGATTGTTGTCTTGCAGATTGTGACAATGCATGCATTAATGAACGGATCATTGTTTGTCAATATAGAGTGACCCCCTAACTCTAACTTGTTTTTATTTTACTAAAGAACATTTTTAGTGCTATGTTTAATTCATAGAAGAAAATATTGAATACCCCCTAGTTTGTGTACACGCCTAATTGAAATCTATGACATAAAATGTAGATTGATAAGAATTTAAATCATCAATCTAAAAATGTTACTATCATGATTTTAAGCAACGAGATCATGCGAGATGAGAGCATAATCAGACTGAATATGTATATATATATAGTCCATTTACATCTACATTTATTTTGAAGATATTGTAAACGAAATATAAAAGTACATTTGCTTGCATAGACGTAAATTACACCTTAATTAACCAATGTTCTAATTTCATCTTTTAGTTTCAGATGCCATCTTCTCGTGTATGTGCATTTTTGAATAGTTTATTTGCTTAAGCATCTCAAGTCTGACAATAGCAAATTCCAAAAAGAAATCATACAAGAAACAAATGTCTTCATATTCACACTTGCAAGAAAATAAGTCTTTAAATAATAAAAACTTCATACAGACAAAACATTCCAACACCAATCAAAACTCCTTTTAATCACTTATACAAATAACTATTCTTCATACTACTCTCACGCGTCTGAACATCACAGAGGTGACTTGAGCTCTAAAGTACGTACCCAATAATATGTAAGCTTTAAATTAAGCTTCAATAATGGCTTCTCCTCGTGGAACCCTAACCCTAAACACATGCTCCTCTCCTGTACACTTATCAATTTTCACCACCCAATGGCTCTTTCTTACATAGTCTTGGTGATGATGATGGTGATTGTTCTTGTTCATCATCATCTTTGTCTGATTATAATTACCATTATCGTTGACCCTCGTCACAAGCAACCCTTCACCTATAGGCAAAAACTGCGTTTTCCTCCCATCGCTAAACCTCCAAGATCCTCTTGAAAACGCGTTATAACCAACCACAACCGCCACACCGGTTCTTGCGTTTTCTTCATGGTGATTAACGATCTTTCTAACGATTTCTTGGTGGTTCTCGAGGTTACAGTCAACGAGGACGAAATCAGCTTCCCCAAAATGATCATTAATTAGAGTGTTGTCACTAGATTCTCCCACTACGAAATGTATCTGATGAATCTCTGATGGTTCCAACATTTTCTTGGATATGATCAGTTCCTCGATGCCACGTAAAACACATACCACTTGACCGCGTGTTTGATTAGCGGCAGCGATCAGGGCAACGAGTATATCAGCGTTTGCTGCTCCGGCACAAGCCACAGCGATCTTTCTTGCGTTATTTCCGGCGGCTAGAGCCGATATGAACTCAGCCACGTTTGGTTCTTTTGTTCTTTGATCCTGCAAAATGCAAATATATATCAAAATGTGACATTAATTTAAGAAAAAAAAACTAGGTTATAGTATTATTATCTTTTTAGCACGATCCATGTCATATTTTAAACAAAACCAGATTAAAATAGGCTTAGACAGATCTTATAATTTATTAAATTTATAAAAAAAAGTTCTTACCGTTTTCAATGTACTAAGATAGGCTTTAGTAGCATTCTCAGCAGACCAAAAAGCCATTTTTCTTAGTTGATTTGAGAATCCTAGAAAGAAAAAAAAAGGATTTCTCTCAATCTCTTGCTTAGAAAGTTTCGTAGTGGTTGGTGATGTTTTGGTTTAGGAGGTGAAAGGTCTTTATTTATATGTGAAGAGATTTGTGAATGGGATAATACTCAGACAGGCTGGTCCAGTTCCATGAATCTTTTCTTTTGATATAAATATATGGACGGAAACAAAGTTGGTCAAGTTGTAATAGTATTCAACATGCTTTGGCAAAAAAAAAAAATAGTATTCAACATGCGTATACAATATGGTATTATCTTATACATAAATATAATAAAAAAAACAGATTGTCTCATTGTCGAGACACTACTCAGCTATTGTCATTGTTAATGTTCCTTTACCTTATGGTCTCTAAAACGAAGTAGACTATGTTCAAGGGTTGTTCTTAGTGGCGGTATATAATTAATACCCACTTTAGCAATGTGCATCCCAATTCTTAATCGCAACTAGAAATAATTTAACCCCAAAATATACGTGTAAGGAAAAGGAAACCACATGTAGTAGTAGTAATGATCTTGAAATTTTTGTTGTCATTTATCAAAAACGCACTAGTTTATGGTAATGGTTGATCTAAGTAAATACAAATGTTTACATAGAAAAAATATTGTAACTTAAACAAAGGCAACACAAGAACGCTCTAAAGAATAACGTTTAAGAGAAATAATGACTTAAATGTTAGTCATTCATCTGGATGTTCGAACATGCTTACATGCATCTTTAGGGAAAAAAACATTAATATTCTTATCATATCATTTAAATTTATATGTTTAGATCATTTCAACGCGTATTGTACCCACATACAATTTAATTTAACAAGAAATTAGAAAGAAACAGAATTTGAATTATAAGAATCAATGAGCTGTAATGTCTAGTGCAGCAGAGGCAATGGAGATCACAATGAGATAAATATATAAAATAAAAGTTGTAAAATTTAGTGCAACAAATAAGTGAATTAAGATTGAAACACATCTTAGGGACATATAGAACATGGGTCCATGTTTGTTTCTGACAACAAACCTACAGTTTTTCTTACAAGATTAGATTCTCGATTTCACAAAACTAATGAGAACGTACGGTTTAAATTTATTTTGATGTATATAATTAAGTTATTGATTGTAAAATCTAGTGACCGTCCTCTCTCGTACGAGTTTCCATGAAGCTTCATCTACACTTAATATAATTATGCATTAATTATTGTGCAAACCAAGACTGAGAAATAATGTTAAGCTATATGCTGGAACAAATATCTACTTTATAATATCATATAAATCAAATGGTTACAGTTAATCGTGTTGCGTAGCAACCATATTCATAATCAAATTTTAGTAGAACCATATATGATCAATAGAATTGCATGTACTTTGAAATAGAGATATTAAACTTGGTGACTACATGCTACTAATGAGATGCAGTTATAAAAGGTCGCGAAGGATGCGTTGAATCGAAAGACACAAGGAGCCATAATGTCCCATGCTGATAGATATGATTCAGAAAAAATGTTAGAATAGTTTTGGGTTTATTGAGACATGTTCTTGCAAGCGATGAAGATACTTCAATGTATAATGTTTTATTCCACTTGAACTAGTTTCATGCATCTGTCATTATTATTGCTTTACACCTTATCAAGATAAGGGTATTGGAGTTAAATTTGGCCAGACCGAACTGGTCCAAGGTCCGGAAATAATCTACAATTTCAAAATAACTAATGTTATCGTCTTCGAGTTGCACTTGGACCACAATATTTGGTCCTAAATAGAATATATAATATTTCAAATTTAGCAATAAAATAAAATTTGAAATATGGTAAGTTAAATAACAATATGTCTCGTGTATCCGTATAACTGGAGCTCGATGCATGCACTGCAATAATTATAGATGAATTTTATAACCAAAAGAAAAAAAAACAGTTTTGAGGATTTACCCTAAAAACATTTTAAAACAGTAGACATAGACATGAAAGCGCGGATGATCATTGCGACATATCTCAGAAAAGTCTTCATACATTTTCTTATATACCAACCAAAATCGAATCATCAGAATATATATAATTTTGGAAATATAACCAAATCTTGAATATTGTAAATGGTAGTAACCAATTGAAAGACAACGATACAAAAACATGGGATTGGGATAACATTGAGGGGGGCGACAACGATAGAGAACAGTGGCTGGCTACAGATTCTGCATCGACCATTCCAGGAGACATCATCTTTTATTAGGGTATTTTTCAACTATCATGGGCGTGGCTCTTGTTTTATTTTTAATTTTTATACTACGTGGATGTAAAAATTAAATAACTCAAAAATTATTTTAAATAAGGCATAATTTTAGAATAATTTTCGTTTGTTTTCTAAAATTATCACAGTTTTTATGATTTATAAAATCAGTAGGGGCCATGAGCACAAGTGACAGAAACATGTGCTTCCACCCGGTTTAAATACATATTATTTCGGCCTTTAAGGTTTTAAAGTTTTTAATAGCTTAGTTGGTTAAGTCGTAGATTAAGTGTGCAGGAGGTGTGAGGTTTAAATTCTCCTGTGACATTTTTATATTTTGTTTTCTCTTTTAGTTACAAAATAATAAGTCCAAAATATTTTTATTACTTTCAGTCCTATATTTATCCGGGTCGGGCCTCACGAAAATCCACAAAACTAAAGGAAATATTTTACAAACATTATATAACTAGGTGTTGTGCCCGCATATGCGGGCATAATTTTCTTACGAATATTTATTAATTATTATTTTATTAATTTTAAAATAATATTATAAGTTATTTTTTATAGTTTTAAGAAACCTAAATCAAACATTCAAATATTTTTATATGAATTTTCATCAAAATCTATATGCTTATTATAGTGTTGAAAACATCCACATAATAAAATATTTTT